TTGATGCACTGTGGTGACAAGCGTGTTGATGCACTGTGGTGACAAGCCTGTTGATGCACTGTGGTGACAAGCGTGTTGATGCACTGTGGTGACAAGCGTGTTGATGCACTGTGGTGACAAGCCTGTTGATGCACTGTGGTGACAAGCGTCTTGATGAGCTGTGGTGACAAGCGTCTTGATGCACTCTGGTGACAAGCGTCTTGATGCACTGTGGTGACAAGCGTATTGATGCACTGCATGAGGGGACAAATGTTTAAATAATGGTTATGTTGTGGCATGTGTAGCAAGCGTCATCTTGCAGCGGTGTGGCAAGCGTGTTGATGCTCTTGCACATCAAGTGTTATGGCGATGAACCGAACATAAAATGCGTTGCATCGTATTCAAGGTATTCCCTGAAGGGACAAAGTAAATGCTGAGCAATAATAATATATAGAGTAAATATGAGTGGCTAAAATGAAGTTTCAATGGTACGAGGCTATTTTAAATGGCCACCACGTACTCGATCACGTAAAGTTCAGGAAAAACTGTTCTAAAGCAGACCAGTGGAGTAGATGGAGAGTAACTCCGGGAAAACTGGTGCTGTCCTGCCGTGGAGTTTTACGTCCATGGAATATCGTAAAGCGCTGCTGCCTCGTGGCAGAAGGTGCACCAACAGCTCAGGTTTGTTTGTTTCGTTCCATAAAGCTCGTTGTTTGTTGTATTCAAACACACCCGGTATGTTTGAACAATATATCGATACCCTAAATTATTGAGAGTTGGTAAAGTTTCGTGACTGCTGCATGATCCTGAATATTGTGACAAAAGAAAGTGGTTACATCCATAGGGAAAAAAATTTTTGTCAAGCATCTTCCAATATTTGAAAATAGTGTTTTTATTGTTATAATAAGATTTTTCCCTTTATTGTTTAAGGGAATATAAATATGGAATGAAATTCATTGGGGAAATTAATGGAATGACGCGGATCTGGTACGTTTATAGATAATTGCTACTTGCTTCTTGCATAAGGGAGGAAATTTGTAGGGTGATTATAAATTAAAAGTAGGATATCAAAACTCTTCCTCAAGCTAAATTTACATTTGGCTGAATGACCGCAAAAATTCAACGTTGTAACCGCCATAAACACTTCTGGAGCAACATCAAAGCAAACGTCGAAACGCTGCTGAAGGACGCGAAAATATTTTTAAAGTGTTTGGACGGAAAAGTTAGAATAAAGTCGGCATCATTAGTCGGAATCATCTGACGGTTAGTTTTATGTAAATTTCATTCCGTAACCCGAGTTCTTAATATAAAAACAGTAGAGGTTATTGAAAGAAAACAAAGGCCAATGCAATTGACCTGGATTGGACTCCGGTGACAATAGATTAAATCGCTCGAAACATTCTTGAATATATATTAAAACTTCATTTGAAAGCTTTGGATTTCTCCACTCAAGTCAGTACCACCTAATTTTAAAATCGGTTCTAAGTATGTGTTGCGGACTATTTCGTGCTTTTCAGTGCAACTGTTATCTAAGGCAGGATTAATTGAATACGCATGCATCAGGTTTCATTCTTTTGCTTCATAATCCCAGATGACACGGTTTCTGGAAAGAAACCGGTACAAATACATAATTTTATACAAAAATGAAAGGTTATTGAATTAATAGACAATATTCGCAAATAATAAAGTATTTACAATGGCTTTCTAAACAACAAAGAAATATTCAAACAAGAGAACTAAGCTCACCAAAATTCGTTCCTGATTTAAGTTCGGTCTGTACTCCGCAGCCGACAGATGACGAATGAGCGGAAATGTTTCGCAAGACCCCGGAATTAAGCTACTATTCTAAAGCAAATTTTGCGTTCACAACAATATGATTTTCTGAAAATTTGGCCAAATAATCGAAAATCTCACGTGTGCCTTAGTAATTTTGTCAATGAATCGCAATCTGTTCATCAGTATCCATTTGTTCTCGATAAGTTTTTATAAAACGTTTAAAGAAAAATCAAGAACCCTGCGCACATCAGACATCTGACGTCGTATCAACATTGAATTAAACATTATTTTGGTAAATAAACGTTGATTTCATTTAATTTAACATGTAATTTAACATTGTTTTAACATCCTTTGCCTGGTGGGTCAGTAAAATATTCCGGCACTAAACACTGGAGCAAATGTTTTCCGCTGCTGTCGCCGGTTCTCTCATGAAGCTCTACAGTGTCGCGAATATGGCCTCGTTTGCGATCGTCAGAATTTGAGAAATTCAAAAATCTGCGAGTTGTAATCGCACGATCACCCAAATCTCTTGGATTTTGCAGCCTCCGCTCTGCGCCTGAACTAATCCCAAGTTGCAAATCGGAGCGGGTTTATGAGATTTTCCTTTTTAAAGCAGATTTACGATAGCTGAAATCCTGGACTCCCTCTAGGTGGATTTTTGGAATTCGCTCGCAGGTGCAATTGAGTTACCGAAACTTTGAAGCTGGTCTTTAGTCGAGGCAAGTAAGCATTAAAATAAATAAGTGGATTTCTTATGAAACCCTATTATCTGAACAATTTAATTTACTCCTTGTGCTATTACACCTGCAAAACCGCTGATGCAATTTACGCGTTAATTCGGGCGAAAACAGTCACGGGATGAGGGGATGTATAAAAAACATTTAATGTAAATTGCGTACAGACCCCTGAAAGTCATTGAATGCATCAAGAATATGATTATTCAAAAGTAATAAGTTGCTAAAAAAACATCTTACCTATTTATTTAATTTGCCTGGGTTTGTTTAGATTCAGACAATTCACCCTATGCTCAATAATTGATTTCCGTAGAGCGTTCTGACTCAACTTAATAAAAGTAAAATAATAATATTTATTATTACGATCAAAATAACCATATATTGTTGCAAAAAAAATATATATATATCCGGAAATAATGAACTATTCAATGAGTAACTATAAATAATATGATCTGGAAAAAAATATGTCTAATTCACTGGGGCATGTAAAAGTAGTTACATAATTATACTAAATAATATGTTGTTTGCAAAGTTGATTCAGTTTTCAACAGACCATTGCCAAATATTTCTAAATTTATATGGCACAAAATTTTAACCGATTCAAGATTTCCATAGAAATTTACAAGCCAAAATATAATATTCATTTCATATTTTTTATATAAATATTTTTATTTTCTACGTGGCAGGCTCAATAGAGCTGGTACCGAGCAGCGAGTCCCAAGACGTGTCGTCGGGTTCGAACATCGTCGTGACGTGCAAACTGAGCGGCAGAGGCTTCACCTCGCATCGGATATGGTGGACAGGTCCTAGTGACCAGCGAGTGCCCACCAGACTTAACAGGTTAGTGACAGGTTATGTTAAGCTGTAATAACACATAAACTGTTTATCAAGGCTTGGAAGTAATCTTACACTCAGAAAAATGAGTGAAACTTTGGCCCAAATAGCGATGCATTTTTCGCCAGTGGATGGGACATCCTGACCAAATTTCGGCCAGCAAAAGAGTGCATATCAGTGCAATGGCCGTTCTCTGCTCGGACTGTGCTTAAGAATGTGTGTCACTATTCGGACAATATGGCCGAATAGTATGCTTGTTGTGGCCTTATGGCCTTTTATCATTGGCCTTATGGCCAATATGGCCTTGCTTTATCCGTGTAACCTTGAATAAGACAAGGTAAGGAGGATTAATGGCAATTTAACGGGCTTCTTTGCCCAAATATCTCGATGCACTTTTGACCCTATAATGGGTCAACATGGCAGAGTTTGACCAGGCAAAAATGTATATCAGCGCTACATCATATCTCTGTTCTTGCTGTGAGTGAGAAAGTGTGTCCTTATTCGGGCAATATGTGTGATAGCTACTGGTGACTGTTGTGATAGCTCCTGGTGACTGTTGTGATAGCTACTGGTGACTGTTGTGATAGCTACTGGTGACTGTTGTGATAGTTACTGGTGACTGTTGAGGTGACTTTAATCACCTCGATTAAGACCGTAATTCATTTTTACAACACTTCTCTCTCTTTAACTTCACTTCTTGTTTGTTTGTCTGCTACAAATCTTATAATCGATATTTAACACACTTCTACCTGTCCAATCGATCTGAAATTTTGCACACTTGTGAAAAGTTGGAGACAATGCATGAATCAATTGACAGAAGAAATAATTTTGAAAATTGAAAAACATTTTTGATATTACAAAAAATGGAAAAAAAATTTTGTTTGCTACATAACTTATAATCGATATTTAACGCTCTTCTATCTGTCCAATCGATCTGAAATTTTGTACACTTGCGTAAAGTCGGAGACAGTGGATGTATCAATTGACAGAATAAATGATTTTGAAAAATTTAAACAAATTTTTAAATTTTAAAAATAATATTTAAAATAATTTTTTAATATATGGTAATAAAATTAGAAATTCATTGTACCTGTGCAACATTGGAGACACTGGATTCTTTAGAAGTGTTGTCTCTGAAAAGTAATTTTCAAACGCTTATTATTATAATTCGCCATGCAAAAATTCACCTGAAAGTTTCAATTCGTTTTAATATCAAATTTACAAGGCAATCCAAACTACTCGATGTTCGTTTGATCTTAGAGAACCAAATTTCATCCTTTTTTTTATTTGTAAAACTGCATAGCGATTGTAATAATTAAATATGTTATCACGGAAATAATCTTCTTTTCCTGATAATGTTACCTCTGAAATAATGTTTCCTCAGAAAATATATTAATTCGTATAATCTTTATCACAATAATGTTATATCATATATGAAGTTATCTCAGAGAACATATTATTTCATATAAAACCCTGTCGATGTTTTATCGCAGATTCGGATAAGTACGTGAGAGCGGGCCACATTCTTCACGTGTACAACGTGACACGTTCAGATGCTGGGATCTACACGTGTCACTCGAGGCAGATCTCACCTCGTATGTCACACGTGGACTCGTTCAAGATCAACGTAACGGTCCTGCGTAAGTTACGAGAGTTTTTTTATTTGTTAGGCGAACTCTGCTTAGGTTGACTTTTTATTGGTTTCTTGTGATTGTTTTCTTTGTTATTTATCTTATTTTGTTAGGATTCCTTACGAGATTTTTTTTCTTTGCTGGTCGAACCTTGCATTGGTTGACTTTTCATCAGTTTCTTGCGCTTGTATATTTGTTATTTATCTACTTTTGTTAGTATTCTTTATGCATATAATATTCATAATAAGAATAAATTTATAATATTAATTGTATTTTTGTCGAGTAAGTTACACACACATGCCGAGATTATTGTTACGTGTAGGACAAATTCCGCATTAGTTGACTTCTCATTGGTTTCTTGTGCTTGCTTTATTTTATATTTATCTACTTTTATCAGTATTATCTATGCATACATCCATTAAAATATTATTTTTAACTTTTAATTGCATTTTATTCGGTATCATTTTGTCAGTATCAAGCCATCGAATGTCTGAGCAGGTGACGCGCATATTGCAATGCTCTTTATATCCTTTATATCTCAAATAACTTTATATATATATCCTTTATATCTCAAATAACTTTATATTTATATCCTTTATATCCCAAATTACTTTATATTTATATCCTTTATATCTCAAATAACTTTATATTTATATCCTTTATATCTCAAATAACTTTATATTTATTATTGACTGCTTTGATGGGACTGCGTGTGTTAAATTTTTCATTGTCGTTGTAAGATCATCGTATATTGCCTGATGGGACTTAGTATCTTTAATGCCTCGTTGTCATGAGGTTTTTGCATGGAAGTTCTTAGAACAGCGCTAGCAAGTGCGCAGTGAGCCTGAACTTAGCGCATCAGCTGCCGATTACCTTATAAATTATAAAATCTTTTGTAATTTTTTCCTACTTTTTTTTATTATAAGAGAAGTGTTCAAGTTCATTTTAATTCGGATGAGAATAAGATTCTGGTTCAGGTTTATATTTATTAATTTCGGGACATTAGAAAACGTCAACGGTCATTTGATTGTAGCTTTTGATTTCATCCGTCATATTTGCTTCTACCGCTGCACTACCTTCAAATTCCTCGTTTATTAAAACGAGGACAACATTTTCTGTACGATCCTGTTGATTTAATAGTTTTATTATCATCAGATCCACCACAGTTCACGACCGCGAACGACTCAGAACATTTTGGCTTCGTGCAAGGAGTGGCAAACTTGAGCTGTTCAGTCGACGCAGATCCGGCCGCTAATTTCACGTGGTATAAGGACGGCCAAGAGCTAAGAGCTAAGCTTATTTTTGAGGAAAAAGAATCAGATGACTACAGTTGGCTTCTGAAAACCAGACAAACTCTAGACCGTGTCAGTAGCATTGGACATCGTCACAGCCGTGCTGCAGAACGTCCAAACGGGCCGTTATTGCAGCTTCACCAGGTAGAACAACGGCACGACCGTTCTAAAGAACACCCAACGGATGACCGTTATACCGTACGGCAGGATGGCGGTACTAGTTACCTACAGGTGGGTTTAGACTTAGTTTCATTTTGTGTTGCGTGGTTGACTTTTGTTGTAGTGAACTGTGAGTGGAGTGAACTTTGTTACATATTAATATATTCTCAGTCCTGCGGAAAAAATACAGACTTACAACAATGGATAAACTTTTCGACTTTCAGTTTAGTACAGGAAAACAAAACGTACCTACCAGTCATTTAGTTCTAGTGTCACGTCGCAAAGCAAAATATTCCGACTATGAACACAAAAATTTTCTTTTATAAACATCTCTTCAGTATCGTGCAGTAAAACAGAACGATACTCCTTCACTAACATGTAATAAAACTAACCTTTGTCAGACTTCATAACTGTACAACGTTATGATCGTATCGAGTGTAGATCGTATCGAGTTGTACCTATGAAACTCGACAAGGGTTAAACTTTACAACTCTGAACATGAATATGCCTTCAATATCAAACTGATTACCAAAATTCCAATCTTCCCGCCTTATATCAACACCCAAGAATATAAATATACCTTCAGTATATTACAGTAAAACCAATTCAACTCACTCAACAGATCAACATCACCGACGAGTCAGTGTTCGGCCGTTACGAGTGTCGGGCAGCCAACGCGCTGGGCAGCGACAGCAGAACTTTCTCCCTTAAACGCGGCGTCCAGCCTCCTACACCTCACATTGACGTGAGATCTTAATTTTTCATAATAATTATCATGAATATTTATCTTAGTAATAAATAATGTGAATAGATTTCTAATATAATTATCGCTAATCATTCCTGTGATGATGAATTAGTATCAGGGAGCTTAAGATTCTAAAACATTTCAAGCAAGCAAAATTATGATTTCCACCTGAAAACGAGAGACTTTTTACCTTCAAACAAAGAAAATATGTCAGTTTTCTTTGTAGCATAATTTTTTTACAATAAATTGCACCTCTGGGAAACAGCAGCGTGGTAAACCACGCCGCTACCAGACGCTCATCACATTTGCCATGTTGTGACCCACATCAGTACGACAACATCGACGTCCCAGATCTCCTGCATTAAGTTTATTTCCCTCGAGTGCCAGACGAAGCCAGAGTTATTCACTGAGACTTCCCTCAGAACCATTGCGGTGCCCTCAGATGTGCCCTCATTCTCGTCCCCATACTAATTTCGCGGCCGCAAGTATGTCCCATAGGTCAGAGGCATCTCATGCATACATCTCTTATTCCATTTGCGTTAGGAATGCTTCTGGTATCTTAGATATTCTTCGAGCATCAATCCTCAGTATCTAGCCTACAATCTGATGGCATTTTTATGAAGATCAGGGAACTCACATGATATTAGTTCATTTAAACGCAATGTTTCAAAAACCTAATATCATTAGCTGCAAATTATGATTATATAAATTTCGATAATCACAATTTATTTTCGAGAGGTTCAAGCGGGGGTTAAGATGACCCCTGAATTGTGGGTCGAAATAATATGAGGTCTACCACCTTTATTTTGCCCAACTTGTTAAGAGTACTTCAGATCATCATATTCGTACAACGTTTTATTTTATATTATATTATATTAGAATATATTATATTATATTATACGGCTGATCCTCTTCGAAGAAAACTATTTCATTTTTCATGTAGACATAAGACGAAGTCTTCAAAAAATTCTCATTCATATTATAATTTAAGTTGAAGAAAGCCCGAAATGTCATTCTACAATCAATTTTCTATTGATTTATTCAGAATCAATATTTATAATTTCTTGCATTATTATTTAACGAATTAAAATATTATTTCGTTCTCCTAACACAACAGACGCGCCAGTCTGTGCCAAGAACCAAGTGACGAAATACGCCGTGAGTCGCCACGAAGACGCAGAAGTGACGTGTACAGTCGATGCTAATTTATTATATTATATTATATTATATTATATTATATTGTATTATATTATATTGATGGACATTTACCATGAATTATTTCGGTTTTTAGTAAGCAATGTGGAAAAATCATGGCACTGACCAATAATTATAGTTTGGGTACGGATTTATGGCTCAAAATAACTTTATTACTTATTTTCCATGTATATTTACCTAATATTGACATATAGTATGGATGAAAATATGCTTATCATTCTATTAGCTCGCTGAAATACACTAGTTCAACCATTTATGCTACAGAAATATTTATCTCTGCAAAGTTTTCTTGGAACATCTGTGTTTTTTTTTTCATTTCGTTGTGTATTGGAAGTTTTTATAACTTATTTGCATTAAAATTGCTAACAATCCTTCAGGTCTTCCGTACCGCTGTATTTTAGTTTTTATTGTATATTCGATCAGACGTTGGCGGTATACGATCAGACGCTGGCGGTATACGATCAGACGCTGGCGGTATACGATCAGACGCTGGCGGTATTCGATCAGCTGCTGACGATATACAACCAGATGTTGGCGGTTTACGATAAGACGTTGACTGTATACGATCAACCGCTTATTAATCTACAAATTATTATTCTGGAGAATTGGGATGATAGTAGGAAAAAATGGCATGGATAATCGCGGCTGAACAATTGCCAGATATCGCCTTGGTTAATTATGATCATAAAACGATTTTGGATAAAGCTACATTCTGCCAAACTCTACGGATTTGAATCTTTATGTTTAAGTATATCATCCTGAATTCACCTAAGTTTGAAATTTCAAATCATCCATTATAAATTTACTGCACTATTTGTTAATTAATATTAATATTATTACTGCCAAGAATAATATTCTCCGGATAGTATGGCAGATGAACTATCACATGAATCTTTCACTAAGTATGGTAATACTTCGCAATTTTATCACATGCACTCAAAATTGCACAATATTTTGGGCGTTGATTTCACTTCACCATACCAATTAAAAAATTGGTGTAGCTTTTCCTAATTTCTCTCAAATATTAAAATATTAATTGTTATGTTTCAGATCGTGTCTCAGGACAGCCACAACATCGCGCTGTCTCTGCGTGTCGGGGACCAAGTCTCTGACGAGGGCCAGCACATCACAGGCTATGCGGTGCTTTATAAGAAGGGTGGCGACAAAAGCAGCCTTATGCATCACTTCCATAAAGGCGAGAGTACATGAGTATATATGCAGGATTGTAACTCTGCCTCTATATTTAATTATAAAGATCATTCCATGCTTCGAGTTTCCCAAAATTCTCGAAATTTAAAACACAGTATTTTTTTTAATATTCATAATCCCAAATGTTATATTGTTTACTCCACATGCTTTTTATATGCCTGGAATTTATCATTTACCTGTACACACGTACGTATAACTAGCACCAAGAATGTACGCTGAGGTTGACATCCGTGCTATCGTTTAGCTTGCCTTACTTGTCAGTCCTAATCGGTAAAAATCCTTCTCTTAATTCACCAAGGAATTTTCTTTTCATCTAACAAGTAATAGATTAGATATTGAAAGTGTTAAAGCGTTGTGAATCGGTATAAATATTCCTAAGAGTTTTATAAATCGTGTTTTTTTTCTAAAATTTTAGGATATACTCGTAATATCTGTTCTTAATCGAACCTAAATATAGGCTCATTTAATCAATTATATTCGCTACCATGTATGTCGCTGTCTTTTTATTGCGTATTTTGTGCCCTCGCCTCCGAAATCTTATGATCCTCCCACACCTTCAGTCCTCGAATTCAATATTAAACTACGCAAACAACTGAATCCTTCAATGGAAAGTTTATTTTATACCCTTTATTACACGAATAAATTTATATTTTTCCAATTTAAGAATACGATTTGTCCATTATTCCAGTTTACCGACGGTTGAACATATTATTTTCGCTCAACTTGCAGACGGACCTTTCATCCTGACCGACCTGCAGCCTGCTACCGTGTATGTACTGCAGGCTGCCAGCCAAAACATAGCCGGGATGTCGCCATATTCAGAGCAGATCGTGCGCCGAACAGACAACCTCACCACGGCCAGAGTTGCGGCCGTAAGCGCTGCTTCTAACGGCCAGTTATATCATGTGTTGTTATTGCTCGCTTTTTATGCCAAACTTAGATAAAATTATGTTTACAAATTTTTAAAATCCCTGGGAATAAACAAGGTGTTTATAATATTAAAATACAGCATCACCACCGCCAAAGTGACCGCCGTCATCGCCATTTCTAAAGACAGGTTCAACCATCTGTTGTTATTGCGCTCGCTTTCCATGCAAACTTCGATAAAATTACTTCTACAATTTTATACTGAAATTTGCTTTTGTGTATAAAGAATATAAGATAAAAATTAAAATATGCACTCAATCGTTCCAGTGACGAGATTAAATGTTTTACAGGATTTGATATAACCAAATATTAATTCAACATAGAAATGAGACGTGCAAAAGAAAAATTGAATGATTTTTCTCTTTTTCTTGAATGATATCTTGCAAAATGAAAAATGAGTTGTGAACAATTATAATAAACTTTCTACATGCCTATTATTTTGAAGTGTGAATAATTAACTTCCTCATCGATATTGTTGGTACCAGGTTCACTGCCATTTATTGGCCTTTATAAAGACGAACTATATTGACAATGGTAGCTTATTGTTGACATAAAATAAAGGATCCTAAAGGTGTAAAGAAATATTGATCAAATGGTTTAGAGAAATTAAGATGGAAATATTCGAAGAAATTATTATTCAAATATTTTTTAAAAATGAGATAGAAATGTTTTATAAATTTAAGTCGTTTCAAAATTAGTAATTAATTTATAGTTATTAAATATATTGACGCGTAAAAATTTTTCAATACACTTTTTTACTAGTTTATAATACTATAATTTGGCTATATTCTTTGAATATGGTAATTTTTTGGGACCATGTTATCTAACCTTAATTTATATATAATTGCAATGTTATTTATTAATCTTAAACTCTAATAACAATCGAATGGCATTCATGCCCAATTAATTACTTATTGGTAATTTTCGGAAAAAACATTAACTTTCTTACTAATTTTATAGCACTCATTCTGTGTTCAACAAATTTTATTATCTGGACAAAACTTTATGTTAAAATTGCAGCTTCTTCACACAAGTCTCCTCCGTTGCAATAATTGTTTTCTTTTTGACAAAAATCTTTGTACTTCTGTTTGTACAAAAGTCTTTGTACTTCTGTTTGTAGTGTTCAATATGTTCAGGTGAAGGTTTTTTCACGGGAATCTTCTGCTTGCGGGCGCATTATTTCGACTCTAAAATGCATCGCCGCGCATTACCTGGACCGAAACTTTCGGTCAAGTTGAAATCTTTCCATGTGCCAGGCGAATTTTTTCAGGCTTCACGTAATTAAAAGATCTGCGAGACTTTTTCCCCGTAGTATTAGACCGGCCGTTATTTCCTTGGCCAAACTCCAGCATCTGCTGTAATGGAGGAGAAAACCCGGAGAAATTACCAGAAATTCTTGTATATTTTCGTAAAATCCTAAAATTATTTCTTCAAATTTGAGGCACGTCATTATGTAAACAATCCAAATAAATTGTTTATATAAATTTACCATTTCCTGGTTCAATACAACCTCCATTACAGCAGTTGCTCAACAGGAATAATTAATTAATTGAACAATTGTTCACTTTGATCAATTCATTTGCCCCAGAAAGCAGTTCTAACCAAAATATTTTTTCGAATTCTGAAATTTCGATTTGGCTTCAAACACGTAATCAATTCGCGCAGGCTTCTTGTTCAGCTCCGCTGGCATCAAAGCAATCGAATTAAAATTGAGAAAATTTTCACAAAAATAATCAAGAAGTCGGGGAATGCAATCAGCGTCCCGGTTTTTAGTTCAATTGCTAAAACATTTTCGCTGTTAGCAGTTGGATTACAAGTTGTTATTCTCGTTCGTTCGCTTCAATTGGAATATGAAATATTTGCTAGTATTTATTAAGTAAACCCAAAACACAAATTAAATATCATCAAATTTTTCCGACATTGCTTTTGCTGTCAAATATTCGTCAACATAAGAGTGCTGTAGGATATTATTGCGCTGTTTCATGAAGTTATGAACTGAGAGCAATAAAACTGTCATTTGCTGAAATGATGTGGATTAAAATCGTACCCAGAAAGATATCTAAAAAAAATGAATTTATGAAATACTAGATATTGTGAATAAGTTATTGAATGTGCCAAATTAAAAAAAATTAGAAGAGTTGAACTGAAGAAAGTTTTGAAGAGTTGAACTGAAGAAAGATGTTCTGTTCTCTTTCCCAACGCCATACTTGAATGTATATTGGACCACCAAATTTGAACAGTCATTTCGTTTCATAATCTCGAGCTTCAGTGTTGGTGACGCCCAAATAATTAATATAAAACTAACAAGTGATAGAATTAAAGTTTTTCCATTCTGGCTCGCACATATAACTGTGTCTTTTAGAAAAATCCTGACCTAGATCAAAAGACGTGCAAACTTAGCAGTTGATAATCTCTTTCTGTAACTTTTTTGCTACTTTAGCTCTTCATTTCCAGTTTCTCATTTTTGTTCATGCGATTTTAGTTCAGGCAAAGCTATTTTGTTTTTATCGAATGGATTTCTCCTACAAAAATGCCCTGAAAATTTATTAAATACAAATTTAACTAATAAATATTGAAGCCGTGCCTCTCAAATGTCGCCAACTTATTCAATCTGAACTTTTCTTAATGCTTCAGAGCTTTCATTTCAAGAGTTGATATTTTACGACCCTGCGTGTCGTAAAACTCCACGAATTTCTTCAAGTCGTGGCAATTATGAAAAAAATGCGACTGCGGCTCAAGCAGCTATTTATAATGACTAATTATTTCGTCTATATTTCATGCTATTCCACGAAAAATAATAAAAATATTATAAAGAATATTCCATGAGTGGTGAGAAAATATTTTACCATGCGTTCCTGGTCCGTACAGATCATATTTCAGAACATATGTCATGTCAATGCTGTAATACTGAAAAAGTATGGCCGTTTCGTGTTTGATATATCATGATATTGAATTTAGCCATTTTATACGCTTATGGATATTGAGACCATTTCAGTGAATGTAATGATGTTTTGATTTTATAATCAGTACTCAAATCACTTCGTGTATCTGCGATTTCTATTTCGTATTTTTGGGCTTAATTATTGCGGCTACGAATTTACCTCTGGTCTTGCCTATGCCAATCAATTATATAATATTTTAAAAATATTTTCCATGTTTTTGTCATATATATTCGATTCAAATTTTAAAGACTTTATTATTAGTCTTGTTAGGGTCCTAAGCATGTAACGGTAAATCTGTCGATGGTATCTCTTTATAGTTGTTAGCTTTATGAGGATGAAGAATATTTAAGAGTTATAAAATGTTATGGGTTTAATCCTCATTCCATTCGTCTAGTAGTTAAGCTTATAAATATACTTTAAGAAATTATTTATATATTTTAAAGAAGATTATGTTCATTGGTCAACACATGAATTTTCCCGTTTCCCTTGAGGTATTGTATCATCAGTTGCTTTAGAAAGAGCATTTATTGTTATATATTAAAATTATATTGAATTCCGAACTTTTCTTCTCCACCCTGATTCTAAATGCGCTTGAATTCTGGATTCATTGATATGCTAACGAAAATTCAAAAACCTTGTGTTTTGCTATTTATATACGATAATATATAGGGATATATCGTATATATTCCGATCAGTTGAGTCTGTTTCATTATGTCTACGCGCAGTTCTAATTTGGCATGCTATTCGTTCAAAAATCTCGATTTCTACAGATGAAAGATTAATTTTGTAGCCAGTTTAACATGCTGTCCTGGTTAAGATGTAAAGCAATGTTAACATGCTAATCCGTTAAACTGCTAAGCAGAGTTATCCTGCTAAATAGGTTGATCTATTACGCTGGGTTAAGATGGTACTCGGTTTAACAGGATTTGCGGTTTTACAGGATTCGCCGGGTTAAAATTCTACTCTAGTAAACTCGCTTCACCTGGTTAACCTCCTACGCTGGATACCACCTTGATAACACACTTTCAGGTTAACCTTCCGTGTTAATTGACACTCTAGTGCCATCATTATGCCACTCTAGTGAACCTCCTAGAGTTGTTTATACATATAAAGGATATATGTATATGTTGCAAGAGAGTTAGTCACTATAGGTTTGTGGGGCATAAAGCAGGATGCTCCAGCTTGGTTAACCTGCAGAATGTCATGTAGTTACAATTATTACACCTACTTAATTTTCTATACGTGTAATGCTTTTTTATTAACTTAGCAGTAATTCAGACATTTTTAATAAGGCTAATCCGTGTCTTATATTTGTTTCAGCGCAATTTATGCGGAATTGTTTACTGATAATTTCCTGCTTATTCAGTTTTTATATATAAATTTAAATGCAGGTTAACCGCTTAGTAATAATATTCTTTTAATTCATCTATTATAAAAAATGTCGTACGTTACCTTCCCAGTCAGTCCAAGATATTTATGATTGGTATTTGCCTCCTGGTCTCTGGAGCTTCAATTTTTCTCTATGGCTTATTGGAGTTCTATTTTTTGTATTATTTTGTCATTTTAACTTACTAAAAAAATAGAGAAAAAGAACCTATACAACAACGAGGCTTTCTTAAAGCATCTTGTCGATCTGGAGAGCGGAACCGTCTACCCTTGACGATCGCTGGTCGTAAAACGCGAAGAATTTATTTTCTACTTTCACTCCGGGGCCAGCGGTGGGAAGTCGGATAGCTGGATATATAGCTGGATAGCTGGTACGCGGCGGACATTTCTTCCTGACTAGCTATCCACTAGAAGAAAATCGTGGCCACTGCCGCTCATCACACTGACGGTTGATTCGAAAAATATTACGTGTAGCGGATGCCAGAGTAAACGATAATGATTGGTTTGATGACTACTAGAATAATCAACGCGGGACTTTAATGATGAAGGAGAGATTTTTTAGGTATGGGTACGCCAAGTAGGTTGGGAAATTTTATTCATCAACTAAGAAATGTAAAATTTGAATACGACGACAAATTTTACCAAAAAATAATTATTCAAAGGCAATCTATTTGATTGGGTTTCTATTTCTATTTTGAATCAATGTGATATGCATTATAACATGCATATCAAATTACATGAATAGCTTATATTGAAAAAAAATACCTAGATAAAAGTACATAATAATAAGTACTTCAGAGGTTCACTTAGTACATGTGCTATGTTGATAATAATTTATAAAGCATGTTCGTTGTTAGCTTATCCCTAATTCTCATTTCGAGCAACATTCGTACCGAATTACTGACCATTGTTACTGTGCAAAAGTTGTCCTCCTTGCGAAGGTCCATTAACGCGATATTGTCCTCCGGTCCATACAAGTTCAACAGCGCGTTCATGTAAGTGATAATTAATTTTAATTAATATATTTATAATAAATATTAATAAATAAAGTATTAATACCTAATATAATAAATCTAATAAATTGAAACAGTAAATTGATAAACATTGAAAACTTTCTGATGTAATGCTTTTCTTAGCGTTACTGCTGTGTAAATGTTTGTTATCTCGATATATTTTATTTCAAAATAATATAACAGAATACGATGAGCTAAAATGATGAGAGCAGACAGACGATGTTGAAACGAATGAATTCTCTGCTACATTCGCTGAGCTTTGATAACAACATACTTGTGTTTTTTTAATAATTGTTGCAGAGAGGAAGCATTAAAAATAAAATTAACACGTATACTTTAATATAAAAGTTCGATCATTAAATTACTTCACGGTCACATTTGCATAGATATTTGACGAAAAAAGAATTTAAACAGAACATTTAAATTCTATTTTAACATTTAACCATACTATGCAATATGCAATGGGTAAAGAGATATTTTACTAGAATATGTAAATATATAAAAATATAATATATGATAAAACATATATGAAACTAAAACGATAAAAATATAACTCTTTTGATTTCAGAATACGCCGAATATAATGTTACGTTAATAATGTTATAATGTTAACGTTTACACTTAAAACATTGAGACTGTTTCTCTCCGGAAGTCAGAGCAGATATACAAGAGATCTGATCAACGATTGCTTGTCTGTCGTTCAGGGTGGATTTATTTGCAAGGATTGCACGGCGCGACGCCTCGTGAGCGACGATGGGGATTTATGACGCTCAAATTTGTAACGCTAATATATACAAAAATATTAATATTTCTTGCTATAATAAATGAACTTTACACCGAACGATTAATAATTAATAATATGTACAGACAGTGGTGATAGATAATATGTGTGGCGAAAATATATATTTTTTATCATGATCGCTCTATATGTACGTTGAGCTTCACGAGTTGATTGCAAAAGTCTTTAATAATTAATAATAATAATTTTTTAATTATTGTTATTTTTGCTATCATCTATTTGGGAAATAAATAGCAACATTAAAAGAAAATTTACTGCAGTCATCTACCTCTAAAATTCTACATAAAATTTCAGAGCTTTTTTGTATGAATGACGTCACCGTATTGCAAAAAGGGATTTACAAGGATGCGAGTTCCATCAATTAAATCAAAATTCAAAGATTTTTCAAAACAACATTCTGGATATTTTTCCGAGAATTCCACGAGGATGTTCTTGACTCCTCGACCATATATTGCTGACTCGTTCGTCTGTCAGATGTTACCATTCAGAGGCGCCAATCTTTCATCGCAAAATGGCTTAGCAAACAAAATTTCCGTGACATTCGGACTCCATGTCGCTCTTTGAACTTAGAACTTTTATCCTAAAATCTGTCCTTTTCATATGCTAGTGAAACTGACGCCTCGGAATGCGAAAAATATGAAATAAAATGGAAATAAGATTGGCAGCCTGGGGGATGACCGACTGGCCGTAAAAATATTGAAAATACGGATTTTTCACGCAGAATTGAGAAGTGGAGTAGAAAACAAAGGATTCTAGAATATAAGTGAACTAGGATACCAGAGATGCAAGAAACCGACGGTATAAGAAAAGAGTTTGATAAAATGCAATTAAATTGAGTCCATTCAAGAACTTTAGTCTCATCTCAAGCATATGCATCCAATTGATCCGTACGGCCGCATGCATTGATAAGTAAGAAAAATTCAACTATATCTTTAGTGATTAAAAAGTGAATGCTAAAGATTAGTAACTGATAAAAAATACGCCATGATTCAAGAAACAATATATATCTTTTAAATGTGAAAAAAATATTCAATTTCTTAGGCTTCGGAAATTAGCACAATTTGAATTGATACTATAATAAACTTTACACTGTCTAGTTTAGTATATTATTATATTTAGTATATATTACGTCACAAATTATATATTATACATATAATTAGTATAAACACAGTCGGAAAAATGCAGCGTGACTGCCAGATCATTTAAATTAATGAGTAAACTTATCATCATGGGAATGAATTGATAAATTGATTCATATAGCACACTACAGTAATTGAACGAGGGCTCCAGCTCTCTGTCTGAATTCCTGAATTCATGTAGTCTATGCACATAAATTACTTGGTCAATTCTTTCGACTTGATGAGGAATGAGACTAACTGGTTAAGAAACCGTTACTCTTTTAATTAATAATCATTGATTGACACCGCTAGTCTTTTAGTCTTAGCGACTTACGTGACTCACGCACAGTTAGTTGATATGTTAATACTGATGATATAATGATACTCATATGTTCATAATATTATACTTATTTATTTTATAATATTATTAATATTCATCTAGTTTTTTTTAAATTAAATAAATATATATATATATATATTAATATAT